AAATNAGATATAAGACAACCTTGTGTATAGGACGAGATATGACTTTAGAGATCAAAATAAAGAAAATTAAATGTAGTAATACAATTCTAATTTTATTTTGTTTAATCACAAAATATTATCAAATGCATGGAAAACAAAACCAAAACATTATAGTGCATGTGATCAGGAAAATTTATTTTTAATGATTCATAATATGCTAATATTAATTAAAAATAACAATTTAACTAATATAAAATAACTACATTTATAATCATTGCTAAGTGACATGTATTTCATTAATGTTTTTATATAACGAGAAACTATTTTCTGCAAACGAATGAGATGCAATGCAGTTTTTAATTGATGGATGTAGGATTAAACCAATAAACAAAGGGATGTGTGTCTTAATTTGTTTATGTGAGACCTGAAAGGCCCCTGGGTCTAAATCAGTAATTTTATTAATAATGTTAATATTTTGTTATAAAATATTCTTTCGTTTGGGTGAGAAAAATAACGTTTTAACGTGGGAAAAATAGATAACAGATGTTACTTCCTTTCACAGAAGTTAGTACATCNCCCCTGGGTCTAAATCAGTAATTTTATTAATAATGTTAATATTTTGTTATAAAATATTCTTTCGTTTGGGTGAGAAAAATAACGTTTTAACGTGGGAAAAATAGATAACAGATGTTACTTCCTTTCACAGAAGTTAGTACATCCTCTGTTTTTCCCTTTTCTGCGAAAACTCTCACTTTGATGGGAAATGTTTACCCCTCACATATCCCCCTTTCCATCCGTTCTCACGGAGGAATCTTTGCATGATGATTGGTCGCTGATCGTCACATATAGAGGAAATTTGTCAGAATTCAGGGAGTTCATCAACAGAGTTGGAAGTGTCTGAACTCCACATGTTTTCCTCCTAATGACCAATGCCCTCAGACGAGTCCCATAGAATAATTCCCGAGTTAGCACTTAGAAGTGATACTTTGACTTTGTGCACATATTGATCTCCCATTGGAAAGAAGTAAATGAACTTTATCTCCGAAGTGTCCCTTGCATACAGAGAAGACGACAAACGACAACTAGAACAGGTTGTATGTTTCTAACGATTTTGTGAACTCTCTCTCTCGTATCGGTTATAATATAGTTCATATCTCCCTCGACGTGTATCTTAATTGTCGTATTTATTCCCCTCGTTCATTGATATTTTGTATTAGTTTTACTTATATTGAATCATTAAATTTACTTTTGTTTGTTTTATATAAGATATGTCTCTTAATTTGAGTCTGAATCAGATCTATAAAGTAATCGCACGCGTGTTTGTCCGCGGAACATAATTGACAAACTGGTGTCGGGACCCTGACATAGGAAGAAGGTGAATTCGCCCTCACCAACTTCCGCTCTAAATTATAATTTAACAGTAAAGCCCTCCATACTCATTTCCCTACGTTTGGGAAAGGCCGTTCTTTGGACGACCGAGAACTGGTCTCACCGACTAGCTGCCTAGTAAGTGATACAGGCGTAACAACCTACTCTGTACCCCAGGCTGGATCTCACATTTACAGTAGGTGCCAACTTACGATAAATAGACTGTAGACCTATAATGACAGCATGAAGTATATATGGTTTACAGAAATTATTGCAAACACGCAAAGAATTCTTCATTCGTGTGTATAAGACAACCTAGGTTTTTGAAGCAGTGAAAAATGAATAAAACCTCATCTTATATCCGAGTAAATATGGCAATAAATTTATTAATTTTTTAGTCATTAATATTTACTATATAAATTTAACTTAACCAAAAACAGTGTAGAATTTTGTTTTGGTTAAAAATGACTTTAAAACCCAAATTCAGTTTCGGATTCAGCTGCAAAATCCAACTTTGGTTGGATCTTACCCATCAATGAAAAATTTAACAATACCAGATCCAATATCTGAGAAAAAGTATCAACATCAGTGTTGGTTAATAAAATTAAAGACAAAGTCTGTCCAAAAGGAACAACCATTTATTTTTCTGTGTTCCAGACAATACACATTCTTGGCAACTGACCTTTTAGTAGATAAAAGCAGTATCAAACCCAATGAAAGTATGATGGATCCAAGCAAGACGTCTGTATATCACCTGTTCCTATTTTAGAAATTACCTGTACTTTTAATTGGATATATTTTGTGTTTTTTAAAAGGACTTTTTCAACTTCTGGCGACAAGTAGCCTACAAGGAAAGGTCAGTCGCCAAGAATGTTTATTGTCTGGAACACAGAAAAAATAAATGGTGGTTCCTTTTGGACAGACTTTGTCTTCAATTTTATTTAAATAAAAATAATAATCTCCATCAGACGATAAATTTACAGAATCAGTATTGATATCAGACCAAAAGTAATGGGTACAAAAAGTACTCAATACCAAAGGAAACTATCAATACGGTATTAGTAGCAATATTATCGGGGTTTCCCTAATCACAATACAACTTCCTGACATGACAGAAGTTATATTATTAGACTTTAAAAATATTTATTGAAGGAAATTTAGGGTTTCATTATACTTATAGTAACAACTGAAAACTAGATTAATATTAATATCAAAAACACTCATCAAACCATAAAATCCAGCAGTATTTAATAAAAATTAACATTTTTTCATTAAAGGTTTCATTATAATTTTTGTTAATTGTAAAAATATGGAATCCTCACAGAAGACCTTATTGGAGGGTTCTGATTAAGGATTTTATAGCAAAAGTCATTAACCACCTCCTCCTCCTCGATGAGAAAATGATCCCTGAAAAGTTTCAATGAATTTTCTCAAACTGTGTTGAAATGTATAAAGAATTAACAAACTTTCTTCTTTATATATTGGACTAGTCCTCAAAATTCACTTTATACCAAAGGAGAGAACAAGAAGTTATATTCTATTAGTGATATAATTACTGAGTCACAATGTCCCAAACACCAATGAGACTGATAATTGCTGATCAAAACAATTTTGAAAAATTTTTCTTTTCACATACTATAAATACATAAAAATAATATAATAATAATGAGTATAATGCACTAAACCCAACATAATAATAATAAGCTAAATAAACTTGAAAAAATTAATCAGAAAATTTTTTTAGCATGGCTAATGTAATGTATTTAATTTGTTGTGACAGTTAAAATAGATTTTATCTGAGGAAAGCAGATTGGGTCATGGTTTTCATTAAACCAATTTTTAATGCAAAACAGATCACTCAAAAGACAATTCTTACATTTTTATTAAATGGTCAGTCTTGTGTTAAAACTCAGTTTAATCAGACCATGATTCCATGCATTTCTCTCATATAAAATTAATTTTTAATCATCACAACAAAGTTGTTAATACTGATTCAGCCAATATACAGTAGTATATGGCCAAGATATTTCAAGTATGTGATATATATTAAATACATTTAATGTTTGAAGAAATGGAGTCAAGAAAAGGTTTGGATTAGCAGCATAGTTTGTTTGGTTCTTTGGCAGGTATAATTGCATTATACACATAAGATAAGTGGTAAATGAAATAATTGCTATTAGCATCACCATTACTGATTTTCTTAAAAAAAGTTATATATAGACTTTATAGTATCTAACAACACAGGCAGGCTTGAGAATTAATTAATTACTTATACAGTGGAACCTCGGTATACGTCTGCTTTAGAATACGTCCAATTCGGAATACGTCCTGTTTGGACAAAATAAATTTTGCTCGGTATACGACTTAATTATATGTGCCATCTATCAACAAGTAGCACTATCGGTGTACTACACTAGACTAGACGTTCGCGGTGCTATGGTTTATAACTTTGTTAAATTTCTTCTGATTTTAATTTGTAAGTAACATTTTATTATTTTTATTAATCATGAATTGCAAAAGGGCAACAGAAAAATAAAAAAATGACAAACAGAAAAATAAAAAAGGGCAACAGAAAAATAAAAAAACAGGACGTATTTTGTCCAAACGGAACTGAAAAAAGAGATTGTTGAGAAATATGAAGGTGGCATGCGTGTTCGAGATTTAACTGTTGCATACTGTATTCCGAGAACGACGACATCGACAATCGTGAAAAATAAAAATATTATTAAATTTGCTAACGTTGCAAAAGGGGTTAAATCAATTTCTAAACAGAGATCGAAGACATTAGATCATGTCCAGAAATTGCTTTTGCTTTGGATAACTGAAAAACAGTGTGCCGGCAACAGCGTATCGGAAGAAATTATTTGCGAGAAAGTTAAAAGGATACATGCTGATCTCATGAAAAATCAAGCAGAAACTAGCCAGGAAAGCGAGGTGTTTAAAGCCAGCCATTTTTTTTTACATGAGAACGGATTAATCATTTTTGCATTACTTCTTATGGAAAAGGCTGGTTTGGTATACGTCCTATTCGGTATAAGTCCAAACACCAGGAACGGATTAAGGTCGTATACCGAGGTTCCACTGTATTTCATTCACTATAGAAGACATATGTGCTAAAATCAACAATCTGTTTCTAAACAGTTATCTGAGGATCATTATACAAAAAGAAAAGAAATAATAGAAACTAATTCTGCTTTCAAGACAAGTTTAAGAAGGAGTATCAAATAATATCAATTAAAATATGGATTGACAATTAGAAAACAAAAAAAAAAAAACACAACTGAAGGCAAGTTATAGATATGTGTCTTTAGTGGTTTATAGAAAAACTAATGGAGACAAATATATGCAGAATGCAAAAGATATTTCATGATTTTAAAGATATTTTTAGTAAGTTTAGAAAAAAAAGAAGCTGCTAAATAGGATTGTACATGCAATTTAAATTGAGATTTCCTGCTGCAGCAGCTCATAATCAACATCTCCATTTTAAATTGATTTTAAAATACAGATAACCTGTGAATCATTCACAGGAAATTACAATACTTTTTAATTATTTCAATTTAAACAAGCTTCTTTTACAAAATAAATTTCATACATATTACAAAACTAAAACTACATTTACAATAAATTTTAAATTGAAAGATAAAATTTCTTACCATTCGTCCAGGCCCTAAACCTTTTATCACCACCCTGACTTTTTTACAGTCATTCTCTAATGCTTTCTAAAAATAAATGAAGTGAATTAAATGCTAAAAATTTTCAAATAACTTATTCTCAGTTATTAATTATAAAGATAAAATAAACTTTATTTTATAAAAAATATATATATATATAAATTGNATTCTTACTCCAAACTACAAGATTTAAATTGTGATTATTTTGGTAGAATTAAACAAAAAATAAGTTAAAAGATAACACACGTCAAGAAATATTTAATTTGATATATATCATATTCAATAAGAAGTTCAACATCACCTTAACACCAGGGGTGAAATCAACACAATAACTGGAACCTGTTACCAGTGTTCCTCATGAAAAAATGGTCTGTCACAAATGTTTTTAAACTTTTGAATAGTTCTTCCTCAGGTAAAATCCAATGGAATGCTTCAAAATAGAACATAAATATTTAAAAATCAAATATCTGTATGAATAAATCCATTGCACTGGGCATGTGTATTCATGTATGGGTGGTAGTAATTAAAGTTTGCCGTATATGAGGGCCTGCCAGGCTACCAATAGATTAAGCTCCTCTTTCTGGTTGATACAGGCAGTCATGTGGCTAGCTTTGTAAATGGATATGGCTTCTAGCCATTTTAGATCTCCATGTGGGTGTAGTAATGATGACCTTGGCTTTGTCGAATTCTGCATTGTGGGATAAGGGCTTAATTAAATGTGATCAGGACACATGTTTGATTGCCTGAGCTGGTGCTGATCCTTGCATGCAAGATGGGTGTTCATTGTGAGCAGTAATGTCCATTAATCAAACAGTACATCAGAGTAGGGTATCCATGCCTGGTTGCTATTTTTTTAACATGAGCTGACTTGGTGGCTAGGGCTTGTGTGGTGAATGAATGGGAAAATGCTCTCTTAACCAGAGCGTTAAATGCAGCAGCGTTGTATGAGAATGGGTCACATGAATCCACGAGTATGTATGTTGAAGCTGCACATGGTTTGCGGTATACTGACGTGTGAATAGTGGATCCTTCCAATCTAATGTTTATTATGTCCAGAAAGTGGACCTCATTGCTGCTAGATTGCTCAACTCCTATCATTAAGCCATATGGGTTGTTATTAATGGCTTGCACAAAAGCCGACATGTCAGGTACTGTCTTCCACATGATGAAAATGTCATCTATATTTCTCTTATAGAGCAGGATGTTTGGGAGGAATGGTGGAAGGATCTTGCACTCAAGTTGTCTAATGACCATTTCGCATAGGTCTCTGGACATCAGGCTACCCATGGGGACTCCCCTATTTTGCTTATAAACAATTCCATCAAAAGTAAAAATAGAATTATAATATATCAGATAAACCATCTCTAGCACTTGTTGGTGTAGTATTTGATCCTGAACAAAATTAAGCAAAACATCCCTAAGGGAGCAAAAGGCTAAAGGGAGTTCCATTGAAGGGTAAAGAGATTTGAAGTCCAAGATGGTAATAAATTGTGGTGTCGAGAATAGATCCTGGAGGAGATGAATAAGATCCATTGGTTATTTATTGTGTAAGGATAGTTTTCCATGTGACAAGATAGCAGGTTGTGGGTGGCCTTCTCTAACTTACAGATGGGAGTCCTGGCTTTATCTACGATAGGACACAGTTGTTGGCCTATCTTGTGTGTTTTGGAAAAACGCAAAAAGCTTAGATGTATCTGGGGCATCGACCAAATGCCAGGTGTTTGGCTAGCTAGGAATTTACAAAGCGCTTGACTCTATTTTGTATCTTGTCAACAAAGTCCTTGTTCTCCCTCTCATATTGGGTGACATTAATGTATTCTTTCAATCCTTGATGGTAAGTGCTACGTTTCATGAGGACTAGTGATTTAGACTTATTCACTTTGGTGAGAATGATGCCGTTTTGTTGCATCCATTTGCTAGCACATCTTACTTTACTTCTTAGCTTATCGACCTCAGGTTGTTCTTTAGCTTTTTTGATTCTTAACGTGGTCAACCATCTTTAGTACACTTTTTGTGTGTCTGGCAGGCTTTTTATTAGGAATTCCAAGTCCAGAATGAGGTCCTTAGTTCCAGTTTTAAAAGGTGTTTTAGTTCCTTTAATTACAACCACTCACACACGAACACGCAACGGATTTATTCATATGGACATTCAATTTCATTTTCAAATATTTACCTTCTATTTTGAAGCATTTCATCGAATTTTATCTGAGGAAGAACAATTCAAAAGTTCGAAAGTATTTGTGATAGAATGTGTTTTTTTGTGAGGAACACTGGTAACAGGTTCCAGTTATAGTGTTCATATAATGTTCAATTATATACTTGGAATTTATATATATTCCATCTGGAAATAAATTGCTTTTCTGATATAATCCTAAATTGTAAACTACATGTCAGTCTTATTTTATTACAAAAATCAAATCAGTCTCAATTATTTTAACTGTAGATTCTTATAAGTACTGTAAAATAATTTATTCTAAATTTCATTATTAATTTTAACGTATGTAAATACTTGAAGATTGTTACATCTTAATGCAATCAAAAAAACTCCCATATTTACATACCATTAGTCATAAAAATTCCATAGCAGTAGTTTTTATGAATTGATTGTTGCATCCTGGCAATATTAACTTACGTACTGTACATTTACAGTTATCTGCATCACAGGAAATGAATGTATTTATTATCATTATGAGTGATACTGACAATAATGACAATAAATAGAAATATTTGAAATATTGAAAATTTGGAAAATATGGATTACAAAGACTTATGAAAAATTATTAAAAGTTGCTGTGAAAAATATCATGATTTATTATTACACTAATTTTCCTTTCCTGATACAAATTACTATACTTTTCTCTATATCAATCATCTACCAAGGATGATCAACCAGTTGATCAGTGTATAATTTTTGGTCAATTTAGTATGGCCATGTTAACCAGTTGTTTGCATGGTACTATTGATACCATTAAAGAAACTGGTTTTAGTTAAACTGTTGCAAAGTACTCCAGTTGGAGTAAGTGTCAATTTTTTTTGTAATTAACTAGTTGGTTGCAATTTAAGCACTGACTGGCTTTTATCTACATAGACTAAATCTGTTTCAATGAATATTTATTACCACCCCATATTTTTAAATTTACCCACAGAACTCCTCCTTTCCATGTTAAGTCTATGGGAAACCCTTCTTTCCTTCATCTATATCTATATATATATATATATAAAAATGGACATGTATGTCCCTATATTTCACTTTTCTGCCAAAACTACACATCGCACGTGAATGGTGTTTGTATGTAGTAGTAGCCCCAAGTCTCCATTCGTGCACCAGGGGAGTTGCGTCTCGATAGTTATAAGGGTGCGGGAGATATGGGGCTGAAAATGGTTGAAAGTGGCTTTCTATTTCGAATGTTTTGTTTGAATTTGTTCGAATTTAATTCAAACATTGTTCAATTTAAATTCGAACATAAAATTTGAATATTGGTTCGATTATAGAACGATTGTAAACGTTCCAGAAACATTGAAAATAGTTCGTTTGACTTGACGTGAACAGGAGATGTTCAGAAATAGAATCAGGACCAGGTCTCTAATTAGTCTGGAAACGGGAGACCTAATTCTTGCATTCTGTGAAAACAGGTAAGATTAGCTATAATGTAATTATCTTAATCTTCACTATCGTTACTTTTTAAAAACCCAGCGAAGCAGGTCCTTGCAGCTAGATTCTAGATTACTTAGAAAAACAGTCTTTTATATATATAAAAAAAACTATATTACATACAAATGTACGAACAAATAAAAACCCAGCGAAACGGGTCTTTGCAGCTAGTTGGACAATAAAATCCTTGTTTGCATGCCTGTTAAGATCTAATTGGTATAATATAGCTAAATGACTATCCTTTAACGAATAAGCATTGACTTGGGTTTGTGGGGTGGGAACTTTCTTGAAAAAAGTTATTTTTCTTGGAGTTACATTGTCAGCTATAAATGTAAACAATCATAAATCATTACTGTCATTTAATTTTTAGCTTAAATTTAATAAAATTATACTTATACTTATCCTATTTAACAAATAATAGTGTTTTTAGGACCATTCAGTTGTAAATCTTTCTAAAAAATGAAGAAATTCCTGTTAGGACCATGCCCCCTAGCAGAATGGCACTTGACCTAGATTTTGAAGCAACCATCCCCTGCAAGACAATCTTCGTTATATACTATAAGTTGTATTATCACTTTACATCAATTTAGAATGCTGCAGTTTTTTTTTATTTGAAAGAATATAGACATATCTAAATAACATATATAACAGTAATTGAATGTTTATAAAAAAGTTATTTTTGTTTTTTTTAATTTGAAATTTATATAAGTAGCTATATTTCGTTTTTACTTTATGAGAGATGATGTAAAAACAATTGTTTACGAAATCGCCATATAAAGTTGTTGGCTAATTTCTACATTGATTAAAAGAAAATATAAAAAAATAAGTCAAAGTAAAAATATCATATTTTCATGTTTCTACTTGAAGTTATTTTTTAGTTTCTTGCAGAAATATTATGTACAGGTAACAAAGGAAATAGTAGATGAGTGTGTTGTGCTTTGTTTTTATTTTTTAAAAAACAACATTCATAGTACATAATTTATTTATTTTTATTTTTCAAATAATGGAGAGATAAAAAATGATAAAAAATATATACAAAAATACAAAAAATTTTAACAAATTTACAATATTTACAAATTTATAAAATATACAGTGATCTCTATCACACTAAGTTTAGCTTTGTATAATAAATTTTGAAACAATTTGCAGGGCACAAAAAACATTGCACTGCTTACAGAAGTATTTTATTTGAGTCCACAACTTTCAATTAACACTTGTTAAAATTTAATAAAATTAAAATACATAGTAGCTAGCATCTCTAGCTTCATTTTAAAGTTAACATTTACATTAATACAATCAAATCTCTAAATAGCAACCATTGACAAAACATAGGAAATGGTTGTTCAGATGGTCATTGATGAGGTTATTTTTAAGCATTTTCATTGGTTTAATTATGGTTTATCTAGTATATTTATAAGTAATTGTGCATAATATTTGATCCATTAGATCTACACCTCCCATATGATATTTGTACTCAACGCACAAAGTTGGTTTTTGTTTATTAGTCCCTTTTTTTGTTTTTATAGTTCTCATCATATTGTCATATGTTGAACTCATTACTAAGACATCTTGGTGTCTTTCCACTTCAGCAGCATCAGTTTATCCTTGTACCTGACTGATGTCTCTCCTTTTTTTTTAATTTACTCAGTATAGCATCCTTTGGCAACTCTTTCCTTTTTTTCTTACAGTACCATAACATCGGTTGAATCGGTCGTACCAAATACTCGAATAAGCATATACTACTACAATAATTGTCCACTCCCAAATGATAACCTTTATCTAATAAATCTTCCACAAAGGAGATGACAATATTCGTTGAGTGACATTTTTTTGATGTATTGACATCAGTCAGGGTTATGAGAAATTGTGTTCCCTTCCCTGTGAACATTGCAAAATTATAAATGTATCCCATTTTGGTTTCACAAAGGAAGAAACACTCTATTCCAAATCTAGCTCTCTTGAGTGGAACATACATTCTCCATCCTAACCAACCCTTCCACAAAAGAAGACTTTTGTCTATAGATATTCTTTTACAGTACATAAATGCTTTTAAAACTACTTCTATATAAATCTAATAAGTCTCTAATTTTATACAGTTTATCTGTTTTATCAGTATCGCTTGAGAAATGTAGAAATTTAAATAACAAGCTAAACCTGTCTTTTGTCATTGGTAAAATATTGGAGTATTTAAAAGTGGCTTTCTAGAAAAGTATGATTGTAAATCAGGTTTTTTTATTATACTCATCAAGAGAAAAATACCTTGAAGAAGCTGAATTTCATTAGCAGTTGTAGTTTGCCAGTCATTCATTCTGCTTCTTCTTTTTATTCCTTTTTCAGTTGCCTGCAATATTACTTCTTCCGTATGTTTGTTAGTCTCTTCAGTAATGTGATTGATTATATCTTCATTTGTGATGCACTCAAAGATTTCTAAAATTTCTTCCGGATTGTTCACTGGAATTTTAACGCCTTTATCTCTGGTGAAATCAAATTCCTCTCTGCTTTGAGTGCTTGATGTCATCCACGATGATGTGATGGATGTTGTTCCCGATAATGTGCTGGTACAAGCATGCAATACAGAATCTGATTCAGAGTCAGAATCAGATGCACTCCATTCTGAGGGACTATCATCATCTAAGTCTGAATTACAAAGAGACTTATCAGAGGAATCATCATCTAAAAGATCTAAATCAATCTCTGAATCATTCATCAATTATTGGCATATTAAAAAATTTCGCTAAGAACTTCACTGCAAAAATTCAAAACTAAATTTCTACATGTTACCTATTTGAAGGAAAGTACATAAATGAGCTGCACAATTGGTAAACAGAAATGTTTTACATAGGAGATTTTTCACTTTTTGGTATGAGAAAGCCAATTTGAAAGTTCTCATAAATATGTCACGTGCCAAATCACACATTTTCTAGGCTACAGGCTATAAGCAACTATTAATTTTTTTGTAATTTTTTCTATAGATAATTAATAAAAGTACAGTTTTTCTCACTTTTTGAGTTGAAAATGTTATATCACTTCCATTATTAACTTTTCCAATCCTAGTTTTTCTAATTAGTTTACTAAATGTTGAGGCTTTTTTTTATTTCTATTTAATTCTTTACAAATTTCCTGACAGGGAATTAAGTTCAATGCCTACAGTATGAACAGGGTTGTGCAGTAGATTTTCTCAGTGTGATGCAAGTCTTCAATATGTCACCCCCTTACAATGCCGCCTATGTGTATCATAGCATGGCGTGGCCCTGAGTACAAAACTGAGACAAAATGAAAAATCCCCTCTCTGAGCATGTAAACTGAAAGTTACAACATGATTGCTATGTTATAATATTTAGCTTAGGTCTACATATTAACTTTACCAACAAAAATATTTAATTTTAAATTAAAATAATATTGTGTAAGAGAAACTCATTCAATTAAAATACCATGTAAATCGAGAGTTAAGTGTACGTGATTATAAATTATCATCATATAAATAAATTCCTTTAAATTTAATTTTCCTTAAAATCTGTAACACAAATTTTATGGATAACTGATCAATCTTAAAAAAAATTTTTTTGTTTAATAAAATATAAAATATTCAATTTACCAAACTCATTGAAATTGCAGTAGCCTGAGCTGCAACATTTGTGCCTTTCCGAGTATTTTTAAATCCTTCCATTCCCTGTAATTGAAACAATTTATTACATTTCATATTTTAACTTAATAATAAAAATTATAAAGAAGTAAACTTACACATGATCTAGTTACAATGAGTTTTCCTGTAAAAAAAAAAACTTTTTTAAAATGACAAAATTATTAACTATAAAAGAAAAGAAAACTAAATTGCAATAATCTAATCTAAATTAAAACTAAAATATTAATGAATTTAGATATTGATATGACATCAAAGAAGAAGAAAATCATCATGTTGATGGCTTTTTACAGTGTTTTTTAAAGTTCAATAGCAATATTTAATAATAATCTTAGATTTTAAGTTAATTTAGAATATATTAAAAATAATTTTTTTTGAAATATAAGTATCACATACACCCATTAGCAAAATGCTGATATATTTAATATACAGTAATGACATTAATGTATTTTGAATAAATAACTATTACCTGTAATATAGTTATCCTAATACATAGTTCAAAAATTAAGCAATAGTAGTACTTTAATAAAAAAAAAACAATGTTAACTGGTATAAATAAAAAAATAACAACAACAAACTAAAGGAAAACAAATACATTAAAAAAGAAACTACAGACATAATTTTACCAATCATAATTAAATTTTGAAAGTTGGATATTCATGAAAAATTGCCATTTGATGATTATTTAATTTTATTCAATTAACACTTGTTAAAATTTAATAAAATTAAAATACATAGTAGCTAGCATATCTAGCTTCATTTTAAAGTTAACATTTACATTAATACAATCAAATATCTAAATAGCAACCATTGACAAAACATAGGAAATGGTTGTTCAGATGGTCATTGATGAGGTTATTTTTAAGCATTTTCATTGGTTTAATTATGGTTTATCTAGTATATTTATAAGTAATTGTGCATAATATAATAATTTATTATTACATATTTGCTAATGTATACAGTAGACCCCCTATAACGCTTAGATACGTTCCACTTTATAAGAATTTTATGTTGTAGGAATCCTTAAATACATGAGCCAATCACAGCCCAACACGTGTGAAGTTTACGGACTAAGGCTGTTTGAAAGGTTTTCTTCTATAAAATTAACCGATTCTAGACTAATTTGACTCAACATTTCCAAAACACACATAATTTTTTGGGAATAATCCATATAAACTATGCTATAAACAAAAAATTGTAGGATTACTTACCAAGTGTGCACCGTTTGACTATGCCGTTGCTTACGCTTGTTTTTGTCGCGGAGCAGCGCACCAAATGGCAGCCGCGATTTCTGATAAGTTATTTTTCTGCGAAAACGTCGTTGAACTTTGGAGACATCATTAATATAAATAATTTTTATGGCCGTTGAATAAGAAATGTTTCTTTCACAAGAAATGTATAAAATTA